TTGAACGCATTGTATCGCCGAGAGAATGATGCTCTAGTCTGAGTTGGGCAACCTCGGGTAGTGCCGTGAAACTGAGTGGTGACGGTAGGCTGCGCAATGCACGAGGCGGTGGAAAAACAACTACACATCCTCTGCACAACTGGTTAACAGGTATGGTTAAAATGACCCTTTGTTTTTTTTATAAATGAAGGTGAAAAATGGGGGGTCGGTTAACCTTCTGTCCACAAATGATGGAGTGAGAGAGGGTATCCTAGTTGATGGAGGAGTCACAAACTTCAAGGTGCCTTGAGATGAGACTGAGAAGATAGGAGGAGGAAGTGAAATATCGGACTGTAATGCCGCGACCGGTTGAGAAAGATGGGAAGCAACACCGGGATGGGTAGATGAGCTTGAATGACCAGATATCGGTATCGGGTGACAACACTTACGACAATGGTCAAAGCGACAGGGACCGATGAAGATGGCGCAACAGACGGTGTGGTCTGAGCGGTAGCGACACTCACAATTGCGGAGGGGGACTGCTGGGCCTGAACTGTAGAAGAGGAGGAACCACCGGGTCTCCGCGGAAAACCCTTACCGGACTCGGGGGGGTTAGAGTGGAGTAGCGATAACCCAATCAAGGAAAAATAGTAACAACCATGGAGGAGAGGAGGAATAAAAAATATATAAGCAGTCAGGGTTACTTGACCGAACGTTCGGGGGGCCCCGGGCTGGCCCCCGAACGTTCGGGCGTTCGGGGTCCCGTTCGGGGGCCGAACACCTCAAGGTTCGGCCCCCGCCAAAAATTGTTTCGGGGCCTAAAAATAAGTTTTTTTTTCTGAATTTTGTTTTTTGAGTTTTCTATGATGTAACCTACACGCCTATATATTTTATAGCCATTCTGCTAAGCCAAAAAAACATAAAAAATCATCAAAGATGGGGGTGTCAAAACGTGCTCGCCCACTCACTATTTTGTTTTTTTTTTCACTTTTTACTTTTTGTTTTCACTTTATTTCAGGGCCTAAAACATTTTATTATTTTTTGAAAACATTTTAATGAGTTATTGATTATGTAAACCACATATCTGTAAATTTTCAGGGCATTTGTCAATGCCAAAAAATAATTAAAAATCGGCAAAGATGGCTGTGTCGAAAAGGTGCTGGCACACTAACTCATTTTAATTCTCTTTTTATTTTTTCTTATTTTTATCATAGTGTTTATTTTTTGTATTTGATTTTTAATTCAAATTTGGTTAAGAATTTGGATGTAGTGCCCAAACAAATGTTGTTTAGCTTACTTTTCTCCATAACATATTTTGTTTTTTGAAATTTTTTAAAAACTTTGTTTTTTTTATTTTTTATTTTTTTTTTGGTCCACGTTCGGCCTGAACGACCGAACGCCTTCCGAAGGGGTCCTGTACGTTCAGGCGTTCGGGTTCGGGCGTTCGGCCCATCCCGAACGCCGGCGAACCTGTAAGCAGTGAAATTTCGAGATAAAAATAAAATAAAATAAATAATAACATAAATAGATAAATATATAAGCAAAAGGTAAAAAAAAAAGAAATATTTATTTTTTTGGAATTTTCGACAATATTTTCCTAACCCCCATGGGGTCAAAATGTTCTAAGAGAAAAAAAAAGGCCAAGGGAAATACACTAATTTTTAAAATAACACAAATAAAACATTTCATAATAATATATGAATAAATATGAATGAGAAGGTGGAGAAGAGTGAAGAGAAAAATAAGTTTTTGATTTGCAAAAAAATCGGCATCATTTCGTTACCCCTATGGGGTCGAAGTGTGTCGGCAAGGAAATGACGAAGTACAATGAGAAAATTTAGCCAACACTTTGTTACCCCCAACTTGGGTCCCAAGGGGTCAAAATGTGCTGAAAGATGAAATAAAGGAGGAGAAGAAAATTCCAGCAGCACTTTGTTACCCCTAATGGATCAAAATGTGCGCCGACAACAAAAATGAAAAAATCCTAGCAAAAGATAAGAGTGCCGGAGAAAATTTTAAATTTTTATAATTAAAAAAAATGAAAAAAAAGAAGTAAGTAATAAAATAATTTGAATAAGAAAAAAAAACAAGGAGGAACACCAAAAAAAAGAATTTTTTTTTTTTTGAAGTTAGGGAGAGAGGATTGAGAAAGAGGTGAGAAGAGAAAAAAAAAGTGTGAAATAAATACATTTTGAGATGTTATGAAAGGGGATTATCAAATTTGAGTTAAGCGACAAAAAAGAGAGAGAACGGTCGGAAAATGAGAAAAAAATGATCGACATAGTGGAGAGTATGATAAGGGATTAACAGGAAAAAAGGTAGTGGGAAAAGAAAAAAAAAAAGATGATGGAAGATGAGTGGGAAAAAAAATATAAGAGAGCAATGAGTAAGTGGGGAAACAAGGTAAGAAAAAAGGAGAGAAGAGTGAGAGAGGGTGAAAGGGGGATTAGTGGTATAATTAAGAAAAAATTATTAGAGAATGAAAGGCGGAGGGGGAAGAGAGAAAAAAAAAAAAAGGAGGTGAAAGTTGATTAGTGAGAGAAAAGTTGATGACCAATAGCAGAAAAATCACTAAAATTCACATCTTGGCTTTCACATACCCCTTGGGAGATTCTGAAGGGGTCTTCAAAATGATGAGCAACTCTTGCTGCAACAATTAGATTTGATCATATAGATTTACAAAATAGAGAGTTTGAGAGCAATCTTGATCTTTCAAACTCACGCTCTCTAGTTCTAGTGCAGCGGCTGCAGCCCCCTATCTAAGAGAGTCTTCAAACTGCTACAAAATTACTATTCTAGTGGATGAATCTGATCAAATGGATCAGATCTGCTGTAGAGCAGCCCCCTAGCCAAGGAGGTCTTCAAATACTGCCATGTGACACTCTTGGAGATGACCACGAAAAAAGTGAGGAGAGGGAGAGGGTAAACACTCATTTGCTAATAACTTTTCACCCACTGGATAAAATTTGGCAAAAAAAAAGACGCGTTGAAAAACTTTTTGAAAGACGCTTCCAACGAGATATGATGTGACATCAGTTGTATCGTGTAGTAATAATGCTCGTTGAAAAACGAGCGCGCACGGTTGCAGAGCCTGAAGAAAAAAACATGATCTTTAAATGATCGTAACTTTAATATTAGCCCACCAAATTTTGCAATCTATAACTCGTTGAGAGCAGCCTATCGAGATATTTCTAACAAGTCAAAGATCAGAGCGAATGGACATCGAATGCAAAATTATGAAGTAAAATATGCACTGGTGTCACCGGGAGGGCAGATGTGGCGAGCTTTTTGCTTAAGCCACGTGGCAAGTGATGGAGGGAGTTGGTGAGGGAGGGGAGGATGGAGGAAAGCCTGCTCTGATACCAATGTGGTGGACCTGCCGGGATGGCTGTCCGTTAGGATCAAGACGAAGGGGATGAGGATGAGGGAGATGAAGATGGAGCTGGAGAGGACAACGCACCTCCGATGCAGACTGAACACACACGTACTCCACACCATGCAAATGAAGAATGAATCGAAAAACAGACTGCAGTTGCGGTATGCCCCCATCAGACTGACTGGACTGGACTGGAATGGCCTGGTACCGACAGTGGTACCGGGCTGGACATGACTGGACTGAATGAATACACGGCCTGTGGGGTCAGGCCGAACTGGTCCCAGAAGCCGAATAGGGAAAATAGTGAAATAGCCCTGACTGTTGGCCAGGGCAGCTAGGCAGCTGCACACCAGGAGTATTGACGTGAGGACGGGATAGGAGGTAGTCTCGTTCCCTCAAGACAACTTTGGCTGACCGCTCCAGGCGATCAATGTGTTCATAGTAACTGCCCTCGACAACACCCTGGGCTTTACAAAAAAGAAAGGAAAAAAAAAAGCCATGGCCCATAAGAGTAGTCGTTCAGGATTCCGGGTATCTCTGGATGGCCCGCCAAAAGCACAACCAATCTTATCACAAGCCTCGAGTGATAGTCCCCCGCCCTCCACCTTAACATGCCCCCTTTGCCATCTTGTGATCCACCACAACCCCCTTCCCACACCCCCCCTCCACAATCCCCTTCCCCTATGGACACAATACCCACCCTCTGCCCTCAGCCATGGCCCTCCAACTCACTCCCCCTCATTGATTGTAACCCCCATACCTCAGCAATCCCCTTCCCCACCTACCAGTTCCGCAACCATCCCCTCACTTCTGAATTCTGTCAGCCCCCCCCCC